GGCGGGCTTTTGGTAAAATCGATGTTGGTACTATCTGTAGTATTACAGATTTTATAGGTTATGTAACATTTATTTCTTATCATGCGTTATCATTTTTTGGAAGAACTACCCCCAACTCGTCACAACGTTATCGTATCAAATAATAACGGTGACCGCGTGTGTTGTTTTTTTGCCGAGTTTGTACTTTCCTTAAAGTAAACGTAAAATTATTATTATTATTATTAATTACACTGTTGTTCATTGTCATACGTGGTTTTTTATTCAATAGTGTTTCCCGGTGTGTCAAACGTTATCATATATATATAATAATAAAAATTAAAAACGGCGAACGGCGTGTTTTGTTTTTTTGGTGAATTTTTGTCTTTGTAGTTTGTTATATTATATACATACAATTATATATTAAACGTATAATAGTTATTATTAATTACATATTTGTCCGTAATTCGCTCACGGTTTTCGTTCAAGAGAAATCGACGTGTTTCCCAGTGTGCAAACATTACCTATTAATATGCGTCGTTGGATGTTGGTACGTTTTTTAGATTTAGAATATATATAATAATATATAGTATATTACATTTCGCTTAAACCAAATTATCAAATTAATTAGATGTACAAAATTCTTATCTTTTTCAAACCGCTGTGTGTGGTGATAACGATACATTTCATATTTTTTGTTGAAAAATTTGTTGACATATATATCTACTATTTATTTTCAATTAAATAACTTACTGACTTATTTTATATGTATGTAAATTATTTGTTTTAGGCCAATACTATAGTGAAATCATAACCGACGCGTGTCTGTTTAGAAGATTGATTGCTACTTCTATCTACTCTGTCTTTAATTAATACAATAAGTAGTTATTATTGTTACCATTGGTTACAGACTGTTATCCTATGCCGACACCGATTAATTTGCCTGCGGCCAACAGAAAACTTACACCGTAGAAGTTCATTTTTTGTTATATATGAAGTATTTTTTAATAATTAGTGCCTATCTAATCTCTATACTCAACCCTAATTTAAATTGACAGTTTTTTTTTCATTATACAGTGTCTTAACCGACTTCTCTTAACGCTTTAGTTTCTTAACGTGCACACACATACGATACTGATGTACAAATAATTAAGACATTAATTATTTCAAATTTTTTTGTTAAAGCTGTACAATTGTGATCACTACATAGAATAAAAATTATTTTAGTTTTTTTATATATTTTTTTTTTAATGATATATTATTTCACGTTAAATTGGCATTATTTGAATATATTTTAATTATTTCATTTAGTAGGATGATTTACCTATATAAATATGTATGCTCACTATCGAGTACTATCACTAACCGTTTGGGGTTTTTAAAATTTGTGTTTTGACTTAACTTGTGGTTTTAATATTTTAACTTTGGAAAATTCAGACATTGTAGGTAAGCTATGTGTAAATCAACAATTCAAGCTGAGAAAATTCTTTGAAATTGACAAACATATAACTTTATTTTTTTAAATCATGTATCTGATTTCACTTTCCAGATAATTTTTTTTTAGGAAGTATTATTGTAAATTATTTAGTAGAAAAACATTTATTTACCTATCTAAAAATAACATAATACATGGATTAATTTAAAAAAAGTTTATTGTTGTTAAAATAATAATATATATATAATGAAAAATATTTTTTTAAATAATAATAATAGTATATTTGATGCACTGAATAAAAATTGTTCAGATCTAAAAACAATCGATTTTTAGTTTTATACACCTGGGGCTACTTATGTGTGCTTAAAATTTATATACATTATTGACATAAAATATCTATGTGTTCATTCCGCTCTAATAAAAAATAACTATATTACATGATCTAATTTATTTTAATCACATTATACATAGTAACATCTTATGCTATCTAATCATTCCAGTTTTTACTCCCTGGCTTTATAATACTTATTTAACCAACGAATAAATGCATTTTTACACAGTCTTATAATAAAAAATTATAGGTATGTTTTTTAAAAGCATCAGCAAAAGTCCCTATATCATCTTTTTAAATTCTTAAAACAGTTGTCTTTAGATTATTTTAGCGTTCAACATTTTGTGTTCTTAGACTGTTTTTATGAGTAGTAATCAAAAATCAAAAAAATTGTCTGAACATTTATTTTTACTAACTATTTAATGTTAATTTTTTATATTATATGTATGTATATATATATTTTTTTTTTGAGCTGCTGTTGATATAGCTTGAACTAAATTAGATACTTTTTAATATTGACTATTTTGGTTTTTTTTGTGGTGTGATTTCAGACATAGGGCGTAATTAAAACATAAAAATAAAATATTAATTTCAAATCATTTTATTGCATTTTAACATTTTGAAGCATGGTGGTATAAGTAATATACCACTTTTTCAAAAAATAGCCTGCTCTCGCACAGTGGTATATATTTATTACCACCTTCATAATCATGTTCAGAGAAAATCGGAGAAAAAAATGCTGTGCTTCAAAGGGTTAAAATTTATATTGAAAATCAACATTTAATTTACTATTTTATTATTTATAGAAGTATAATATAAGTATACGCTCCACCCTAAAAAAGTATAGTAAATCTATAGATTTTGCTATATTTTTTTAAATTGATACTACATAATGAAAAATAAAATTATTTTAAAATTTTTGATTATTATCATTTAGTAGGATGAATTGTTGGTTAGCCATCTAAAAATATATCAACATATGGTTTTATACCTTTCATGGTTTACTTAAAAAAGTATTAATGTATATATCAATTTATGTATTATGTATAAAATATGTCTGGATAAGTATCAAATAATTTAGGTATTTTATGCACTGAATATTATTATTATTATTATCATTTTGTACCCTGACCGTTTTTATAATCACCGCCGGACACTCGAATAATCAAAAATATTTGCTACAAATTATTTCAGACATTTCATTCATGTTTTGTACTCTTGAATTCCTAAGTAACCGTCACACAAACATATCATTCTTCCACACTTTTAAACTTCTAATAACCAACAAACGTCAGACCTTAAGTATCAAAGTACCTTTAGCATTTATAAGCTCTGCCAAATAGTCGATCAAAAATCAAAATAATGTATTTATCACTCTTCACTTCTTTCCCTTTTAAGTTTTAATATAAACTCTAGACATTTCATTCATGTGATTTACTCATGATGTCTTAAACACTTATGAACTTCTGTTAAACCACTAGACCTTTAATATACATATTTAATGCATTATGCTGTTGGTTACATTCTAAACGTACAGTACGTCATTACCGAATAATGGCATAGACGGTGATTTCTGAACAAATAAGGATTTTAATTCAACCAATATCTAGACATATAACGTATACGTTTGAAAAAGTTTTGTTGCACATAGGAACACCATATCAGACATATACAGACTGACCTCTAAATTTCTTTCTATTTTTAACCATAGCTATTACCAAGCCCGTGAAGTAAACAACACCTCAAACAATTCAAATTAAAAAAAAAAAAATTGTCCTTTAAGCAAGTAGCACACTCGCTTTAGTAGTAGGACGTTTCTGATCTGACAGATAGCTAGACTTGCACTACAGTTAACCGGTACTTAGCTTGCAAAACACTTTTTCGAAACTAAGTATGAACTATGATTACTAGATAAAGGTACGATGAATTATAACGGTATACTTTAAAACGTAGTGAGCTGACTCGACACCGTGGCCAGGCACCCCCCTCGGAACTGCTGTGTACGGACATATAACATACTACGTTTAAACAAATTTTGTTTCACAAAGGTAAACCTTAACAGACATTTGGCTGACTGTCCTCTAGACATTTTTATCTGTTTTCAACTCATAAAATTAAGCGGGATGACGCCGGCCTATATTGATGACGTGGTCTATAATATAACAACTTTTACCAAAGACAATTTCCATTGTACACTTTTTCCCAATGGCCAGCTTCTTATCAAGCCTCTTTAACTTTTTAAAATATTAATTTAAACTTAATTTTAAACCTGTTACCTCCTCATAGACTGTAGCCTACAAACCTAGGATATTTTTAGTTGGCGGAGCGAAGCGACGGCGCCAAGCGAGCGAATGCCAAAACACTCGGAGACCTGCCGTCCTTATCAGTTATCAATACGAATTCCGCCCGCTGATAAGGAACTGGACATTGGTAGTTCATACAAATTGGTAAAAGTGGTAGCAACCCAAGTAAGCAACACCGGACACTTGATATTTATTAACCGTCTAACTTCTAGACTATTCTTTTCAATTTAAAATTTAAAAAAATTACAGATACATAGCTAGACTTACTCTACACTTAATCAGTACTTAGCTTGCAAAATATTTGTCCATAACTAGGTATGAATTCTGATTACTAGATACAGCCTATAGGTACCATGAATTATAACGACATTCCTTTAAGACGTATTGCGATGGCTCGACACCGTGGCCGGCGCAGCCGGGCACCCCCCTCGGAATCTGTGACCTCCCCGAAAATACTTTGCAGCGAGGGGACGTGAGCGTGCCCGGCGTAGCCGGGTACAGTACCAGGAATCTGTGACCTACCCGCCCGACTCGGGGGCCTGGGAGCGAAGCTCTAGTCATAAAATAAAGTACTACCATTCATGACTTTTTAATACTATTAAAATATATCTTAACTTGAACAAATAATGAAATATTTTATACAAAATTAGAGCTACAAGTTCATAAACTAAAAAATTAAAATTAGCACGAAGCAGATTATCTTATATAAGATAATTTAAACAATCAAACGTGAATCTCTTTAAATGAATAACAATATGCAAAACATGTGTTCAATTAGTTCACATTAGTGCATTAGTGTTAAAAATATTGTGCAGTATAAAATACATTTTAGGGCGGTATACTGCATAAAAACCAACACTTAATCTGAATCCAAAAAACAACAGTCCTCTTCATAATTTGCAGGTAGTTGGACCCAGTGGCGTAATTAGGAATTTGTCTTAGGGGGGGATAGACATTTTTGTACACACAAAAATACAAACTACTTAATTTTCAAGTACATTTATTTTGTTTGTAATATAATATAATATAATGTACATAGCTCTTTTTTTGTAATAAACATAACAGTATGTAACTAACAATAATGTACATAACTCATTGATAGTATCTTGTGCGAGATCAATGGCTTCTTTTAAGTCAATTTTGGTTTTTTGTAATTATTTACATAACGGTAAGCCAAATGAAAACATTAGCTGAAAAATACATCAGATAATTGCAATAGACTTAAGATACCTTCTTTTTAATTAAAAATTTTGTTTTTACCTGAACAATATTAACTGAAATTAGGAATTCAGAGTCCATTGATTTTAGAATTATTGATGCATCCGTAGCAGACGAATCCTTCCAATCTGATATTCATTCTAAAGCTTCTACTACAAACTTAAAAAGCTCAATGAAATCATGAATCACATCGTATCTTTGCACCCATCGAGTTGCAAATAGCCTTTTTAATGTTTTTATTTTTTGATCAACATTACTGTTTTCGATAGTAGATAATAACACATGATTTCGTTTGGGAGTATTGAAAAAATTGTATAATTTTTCAACAATACCTAAACAATTTCGTATTGCTTTTATATTGCTTGTTTTACAAAATAAACCAAATTACCAAAAATTGGAGTGATGAAACAACATATAAAACGATAAAGATACTTACCTCATTACAATCTTCTTTATTTTCAATAGAACGATTTTTTTTGAAAAATATAAAAAAAGTGTATTTCTAGTATTTTTACATTTTTTTCTTTTTCCTTCCATTTTTAGACTTATAAAAAAAATTGTCTTCTCTATGACACAACTAAATAATAAAATAACTTAAGTCTAAACTCGTGTACCGAGTTGACTTACTATGATTCACGTATCACAATTCACAACTATATTTTAATACACTATACAGTATACATAATATAGTGAAAACTGTTGTCAATTATTATCCAGTTGCTCACACTGCTGATTGTAATTTGTTACCACTGACCACATGCTTAATCTTAATGCCCACATACCGTTTATCGAATGAGACAAAAAGTTGTTAAGAAAATTCCGATAACGTGTATAAATCCATCAGTTATTTTCAGAGCATTTACACAAGTATAATATTGTTTGATTATTGACGTACATTATACGACGACATTGTTGATGTGCATCGTCGCTCCGCAATAAAAAAAACTCAATCGACTGCTATTATTTTAGTTATATTTATAAACTATATAGGTACATAGGAGATTCGGGGTTTTACTATAATAATGTTAAATAAGTACATAAATATTTTGTTGAGCCTATGGCCAGTAAAAAAAAAAGGTCATGGGGGGGATACGACACCCTAATCCCCCCCCGTAACTACGCCACTGGTTGGACCTTATATACTCATAGTTGACCTTCGGTAAGGTTATATAATGCAGGCTATAAAATAACGAGATAACGACAGTGGTTTTGTCGTATCAGAATCATTAAGTGTCTTAATAAGTACACGGATAGGTTTTTTTCCCACTAAATCGATTGTCTACTATAATCAGCTGCACGATTTAGTCGTCTGTGATATCGTGTAATAAACACAATATTATGATACCGATCATTGGGCCCTAACCTAATCTAACACGGATAGACGTTACCAACTGATAAATTTTGGTGTCTGTTCGTTTCTCACATCTGGTACACCGGGTTTTGAGTAAAAAAAAAAAAAAAATTGAATTTTTGTAAACTTTAAGTCAAAAGTGGTACTTGAGCACAAAACTTAATAGTATCATTCTGCATAGATATACATAAAAAATTTTTAATGATTTGATCAATTTTGATTAAAGATTTTAGGTGTTTTTGTTAAAATATACGCAATCTGCGAAAACACAGTTTTCCGGCAATTAAAAAAAAACTGTATTGGCGAATTTTTCACCCGTTTGTTATGGATACATATGAGTTCCAACTACTGGCAAATTTTTAACCCAAAAGTTTTAAAATTACGGCTAAAAACCCCGAAAAACAAAAAAACTTGTACCCCCCCCCCCTAGGGGGGTGGGAAATGGGTATAGTTTAAATTTGACATAATTGACGTGTGCGGGCATATCAGATAAATATTTCTTATACATTTCAACTCGATCCGACTCTTTTTCTCGAAATTATAGCCAGTAAAAGGTCACTAGGCAAAATTTGTGATTTATAGAGTTGCTATTCGAAGGAATTGGTCTAGTATTATAAACGTTACAGTGTATACAGCGAAAAAAAAAGCCCACATCAGAGTAAAACCTTCTCGCTTTGCATCGAAGCTAAAACCTCCACTGCTCCACATTGTTCAAAAGATATTCTTTTATGTAAATTTCCTGGTATTAACATTGAATCATCTCTTGTATGTAGTACTAATTATGCCACACTTAAAAACTAAAAATTTTTACACATAACTATTGTGAGTAATTTCCACGGCTCACTCGGTTTTTTTTATGATAATAAAAGAATTGAGAACTTCTAGGATATACCGGCCGATTCTTTACACCAGTTTTCTCTTAAAATTGTTAAAATTTAGTTAAGTTTTTAATTTTAAAACAATTTTTTAATATTCAAATTTTTATATTTGCAGTATTTTTTTAGAGCTTTATCGACATTTGAAACTTAAATGGCAACACAAACATTTCATTAACTTTTTAAATTGAGAATAATGTACTACAAATTTAGGATAAGAGTTGATTAATCTTAAAAACTTAAGAACTTTAAAATGATTATTCAAAATTGATTATCAAAGAATGTTTTTAGTAAATTATTCTTAATTTAAAATATTAATTAAACACTTATATAGTTAACTAAATAAATATAAAGTTTTAAAGGTCGATAAAGCTCTAAACAATTTTGAAAAAAAAAAAAGATAAAAATTTAAACATTGTTTAATATTGTGTTAAAAAATGTTTTCAAAAATAAAAACTAAAAAATTACAATTATTTTGAGAGTAAACTAATACAGTGCTCACCCGATAAAATAATAAATACATTTTCCTACAATATGCCTATATAGTTATAAGGAATTAGTGTAAAATAATATTTTATAAAATAAAACACAATTTTTTTCATAAAATGTATGGGTTGGAAATTAGTCTTAGAAGATAAGTCTAACATATACGAATACGGCACTCAAAAAAGAAAAAGTAACACATATGTTATTTAAAAACATATTATATACTTATTTATATGCTGGCAAATACTCTTAATATAGGTACATATGTATTAAAAACGGCTTGTTTATATCGTAACTGTTACTATTTATGTTAATATTACATTTGTATCGCCGCACCATTTCAGTGTAAAACAACATATTTCTCCAAACCGTTTTTGCTAATTTTTCCTGTTTCAAAGGATTTCTAACAGTTAATACAATATGTATAAACAGTATTCTACGGTTTTTGTGTTAATGATCGTTGTGTTGATTGGAACAGTGAGCCAGTCAGGACTAAATAAAGTCATTTGGAATTTGACGATGGACAGCCGCCATTTGCACTGCAGTGTAGGTATAATTTCCTACCCGGGTTTTGGCATCGTGTTGCCCAAAGTCAAAAACCTTGACAGAACTTCACTTATTGAATTTGGAAAACCAAATTTGCCGATCCTGCAGGTCGACACACAGGTAATAAACTTTACATAAAAATTTAAATATTTTGCGCTTAAAAGTTTCTCCGAAATCTATTAAAATATAAAATATCTCTCTCAAAAAGTTATATAAGGAAGAACAAGTCAATTGGAATTTGACGATGGACAGCCGCCATTTGCACTGCAGTGTAGATATAATTTCCTACCCGGGTTTTGGCATGGTGTTGCCCGAAGTCAAAATCCTTGACGGAACTTCACTTATTGAATTTGGAAAACCAAATTTGCCGATCCTGCAGGTCGACACACAGGTAATAACCTTTACATAGAAATTAAAATATTTTGCACCTAAAAGTTTCTCCGAAATCTATTAAAATATAAAATACCTCTCTCAAAAAGTTATATAAGGAAGAACAAGTCAGTTGGAATTTGACGATGGACAGCCGCCATTTGCACTGCAGTGTAGATATGATTTCCTACCCGGGTTTTGGCATGGTATTGCCCGAAGTCAAAAACCTTAACAGAACTTCACTTATTGAATTTGGAAAACCAAATTTGCCGATCCTGCAGGTCGACACACAGGTAATAAACTTTACATAAAAATTTAAATATTTTGCGCTTAAAAGTTTCTCCGAAATCTATTAAAATATAAAATATCTCTCTCAAAAAGTTATATAAGGAAGAACAAGTCAATTGGAATTTGACGATGGACAGCCGCCATTTGCACTGCAGTGTAGGTATAATTTCCTACCCGGGTTTTGGCATCGTGTTGCCCAAAGTCAAAAACCTTGACAGAACTTCACTTATTGAATTTGGAAAACCAAATTTGCCGATCCTGCAGGTCGACACACAGGTAATAAACTTTACATAAAAATTTAAATATTTTGCGCTTAAAAGTTTCTCCGAAATCTATTAAAATATAAAATATCTCTCTCAAAAAGTTATATAAGGAAGAACAAGTCAATTGGAATTTGACGATGGACAGCCGCCATTTGCACTGCAGTGTAGATATAATTTCCTACCCGGGTTTTGGCATGATGTTGCCCGAAG